TCTCTGCACATAGCTCCGTTTTTTGTGAACCAGACCCAAGCCTTGCCTAGGACATGTACGTGAAAATTATAAATGTGTTCATAGTTTATACAACTTTTTACAGGGTTTTATTGTGCCCTACCAAGTCCAGGTGACCCACAGTTACTAACATCTAGGGTCCTTACATGAGGTATGAGGTCCCTGTAAAGTAACAGGGTAGTATAGTGTAGTGAACTGTAAGAAGTAATGACTATGTATAAACAGGAACTGTATATCCTTAGGCAAGCATAGGTACAGTGATTATTGTTTAGCTTTATCTGTTGTATTTTTTCAGTGTTTGACTCCGCACTAATCAATATTCCAACCATATGGCGGTGGCTTGTAGATTTTCGAGTCTGCACATAGCACCGTTTTTTTGTGAAATAGACCCAAGCCTTCCGGATAGAAATGTACGTTAAATTATAAATGTGTTCATAGTTTATACATTTTTTACAGTGTTTTATCTTGCCCTACAAAGTCCAGGTGACCCACAATTACAAATATAATGGGCCGTACATGAAATATGAGGGCTGTGCAAAGTAACAGGGTAGTATAGTGTAGTGAACTGTAAGAAGTAATGATAGTATTGAGTCTGGACCAGACAATCGAGTGATCAAACTCCTGAGGAACAATCTACGGTATTGGGACACGCTAACATATATCAACATGTGTCAAACAATGCCTAAACTCCATTGTACATTTGGGTAGTTATTTATGTGATCATTTGTAATATCAGCCATGTTTACTCTGAACGTTTTAAATGAAAATTTTAAATCAGTGAAACATCAATTACACTGATTAAAAACTGATTGTGATGTTGTGTTACTGCAAGGATGTAAAGTCAACCTTAGTATTTGTTCACGCATGATAGTTTTGCGAACTTGGACGTTTTTCAGAGTAAAACCGATACCTTGCTGAAGTTCAGATGGATTGACTCCTCTCCCTTAGTTTGTGGCAGATATCTGGACCATGTAGCAATACAGGTTAACCTTCGTATCAAAAATGTGCAAAATGTACACTCATAAAACTGGCCACAATGATTTCTGCACATTTCAGGTCCGACTGGCTGTTTCTCTTGGTCAAGTGTTGCAGTGGCCACCGTTATGAACACTGTGCAAACTATTTGAAGTGTGTTGCCACATCCTCTGTAAGGAAGCATTTTCCCCTTTTTGGATGTTGTTGCTGGAAGCAGATAGTTTAATATAACACAGACCATTGACCCTGGCAGGCGTGTGACCAGTAATCAACATAAAACAAAAATCAGCCCCTTTGATTAGCATTTAAGAATCACATGTTTGACAACGACATTAAAATCTGTGACTAAACGTCGAAAAGTCGCTTTTCACCAAATATTGAAGTTGTATATCCAGAAAATTTTCATTATTCTTCAACAAAAAACACGTTTTTTTCAGTTTAAGGCATACTTTGGCAAGTGGAAAGTAATTGTCAGCCTGTGATATGAGCGTCTAACTTAATAATAAGTTATTCTTTGCTTTTCTTTTTATAAGCAACGATATTAATATCTTCGAGTATATATTGTTGAGTGAATGACTTAAGATTTTACGTCACATCGTTCGAGGACGACCCAGAAACGACTCTGAACAAATGCATGATTGGCGAAAGGGAGACTTAATCCGTACCATACTGGCTGAATGTGTTCCACGTACATGCCGTAATCAATACGAATGTGTTCATGAAAAAATAATCTATATTTCCTCGAAGGTACAACTTATGTATTCGTAATCTGATATTTCATGATCCCAGACTAAACTCAACAGAAAGGATGACCATCTCAGTCTCATCTTGATCAAACAGAAACTTCAGAACATATTTGCAAAATTACATATTGAAAAAACAAAAGATGTTGTTGAACCACTGGAAGTCAAATTGTGAATTGAAACAGGACCAAAACCGGGCCGGAATATCTTGAATACAGGAGCGCGCTAATCTACACCAAAATGGAAGTCTGACAACTGGTAGTGGATAACTTTAAGTATATCACACTTGTGTGAAACTTTGAAACTCTGTGAACATACAAAGGCTTTTAGAAAGTGTTCAGAGGAAAAATCAAATACCTGAATAACAATTTGCCCTCAGTCAAGAGCACTCACAAGGGAGCCCATTATATTTTCCCCCGAAGTTTTGCCTTGAACGAAACAAAATGCATGGAGTTCAACTACTCCGTTGATTTCTAATTCCATGCCAGGCACTATGCTTATCATTGCCATTAACTTGCAAAAGATATGCAGCATTCACACACAATTTGAAAACATTGTACATACGTTTTTGTTCGTTGTGACTTCTCTCCCCAGTTTGTTCCAACGAACAAATTTCAGTGACGATATGAGAACAACAAATTTTACCCACGTGACAAAGTAAATGCTTCACTGCACTAAAAGGTTTTGGTTAATTTTATTTTTTATTTCGTTTCTTTCACAAAGATAAAGTATGTTGATAAGACAACTTATAAGCTTATGTTTGACGTGTACTTGGCTCTTGATATATTTTCCTCAAATCTGTCCTAGCTTTGTTTTGATAAAACTATGTGATAAGTGCACTTGCTCTCCGGGGCAAGACCTACCCTTAAACAAACCAAGCGCGGGGCATGGTTGCCGCAAACCCATCATTCAAAGATTAAGGACAAAGGAATAGAATCTGGTGTTCGCCATCTCAAAGATGGTGACTCTTTATTAAGGAATAACTCTGACATTGCAAACAGACATGGTGAAACTTTTGCAAACCAATCCTCATCATCAAACTACAGTATCAGGGGTAACAAACCGAAAAACGAAGAAATCAGTCAATTTTAACTCTGACGATGGCGAGGATTACAAGGAATTTTTTTCTCTCCATGAATTCCGTACGGCCCTGGGGGCAGGCTCACGACACTGCAGCAGGAGCTGATGATATTCATTATCAGCTTCTCAAACACCTACCTGATTCAAGTTTGGAAACACTACTCAATATATTTGATGACATTTAGACAACAGTATACTTTCCTTCTTCGAGGCATAATGCCATTATCATCCCTATACCAAAACCTGGCTGGGATTATATGGATCCCTTAAACTACCGTCCTATAGCACTAACTAGCTGTGTTTTTTAAAACCATGGAGCGCATGGTCAACAATCTATTAATCTGGTACTTGGAGACCAATAACCTCCTTAGTGACCTCCAATGTGGTTTCCGAAAGAACCAAACTACCATTGACCATCTGTTGCGTCTGAAATCATTTATCAAATATAATTTTGTGAACAAACAATATACTGTATCTATCTTTTTCGACTATGATACAACGTGGAAACATGGTATCTTAAAAGATTTGCACGAAAGTAGATTGAGGGGGCCGACTACCCCAATTCATATCCCATCAAGATCAGGGAGTCCCTCACAGCAGCATCCTGTCTGTCACACTTTTTAGCATCAAAATTAACAGCCTCATTAACGTTTTGAACATTAACGTATTGACAGGTCCCTTTTCGCTGATGATTTCAATATTTCATGTCGTGGTAAGAATATGCACGCAAAAAGAAAGGCAGCTACAACTCTGGGACACATATTTGACAGTCACTTGACATTCCTACCACACATAAAATACGTGAAACCAAGTGCTTGAAGGCTCTTGACTTGCGAAAAGGCGTTTCAAATACTGAGTGGGGAGGGGATCAGACTACCCTCCTTCACTTGTACAGATCTCTAATTCGCCCTAAACTAGATTATGGTTCCATTGTCCAAGGTGGAACCTGTAAAAGCTATTTAGAAAAATTAGATTCTATCCACCACCAAGGCCTTAGGTTCTGTTTCGGAGGTTTTAGGACCTCTCCGGTAGACAGGCTCCACTTGTACAACGCCACATTAAACTGCAGTCCAATCCAGCATACAATTGTGTTTTCAAACCTCTATGAAAACGTGTTTCCTAATTCTGCCAAGCCTGGTTCCACCACTTGGAATCAGAATACAGCCACACATATCTGCAGTTAAAATCGACCTCAACATCATAATACCTTACCGGCTTCAGTCTTCGCCACCCCGGTAGATCTTACCCTTACCAAACTGAAAAAAGAGTCAGAAAGAAAGTATTGGTGTTCCAACAGGAATACAACCAGTTACAGTCCTGCTATAACACCCATAGATCCATGTTCATAGTCATTGGATCAAAGACTGTCTCCCCATGAATACCCAACAATACATCCATTTTCATTGCTGAGGCCAAAGCTATCTTCACGGCTGTAACATATAATGACACACATTGAAAACGCAAAACCCATTTTAGCAATTTCTAACAAAGTTTTATGAAGCAATTTCATTTATCACACGAAAATATAGTGATGTGAGGTTGCCGAATAAAACCATATGCACATCTGGGTTCGATCCCTTTTCGTTTTTCTGGCTTGGGTACAGTTCATGAAAACACAACTCTGGCAAATTCCTTGGATCTGTTGGGGTGCATGATTTACATTCATTCTAAGAATACCATAAACTCAATTCTCAAATAATTTAGAAGGTATTTTCACTTCTGTGAGATGCTGACATGGTTCCCCCATACATTTCAACCGGAAGTAAGTGACTGGGGAGGTCAAATGAGGTCAAAATGTCTGCGTTGGCGCTGCGGTGTTTACTAACGAATTGAGCTGTGTAGAGATAATGTTGCCCAAAGTTTTGAAAGTAATAAGTACTTGCACTTGTTTAATGAATGTACATTCAAATGTTGAGGGCAGTTTTCAAATTAATTGTAACATTATTTGTTCCGTAATTTCTAAAAGAAATATATCTTAAAATCCTGAAAATATTAGGGGTAAAAACACATGGCTTTCAACTAGGAAATTTCCTGGTTGAATGTAAACATAAGGAAGCACTGGTATTTCATTCTTTCAAGTTTATATATAAGTACATTGACTTTGTTTCAGTATATTTTATCTCTTATTCAGGTATTTCTTTTTTCTGACAGCTTGTACCTGTCTTAACTGGACATCAACTTGTCAACTTAGTGAAAGTAAAAATACAGGTCAAGTTTAAAATAACAAAATAAAGACGGTGATCGTATTATCTTCTACATGTGTGGTCAATAATTAAAACGTGTATTATAAAAAGACCTCATAAAGGCTTGATCGTGACGGTATTCTACGTAGATGTTCTAATGATTTGACGTCACGCTTCATGCTAAGAATGTAATAATGTTATCATTTCAGACCTTCAATCTAGAGCGCAGTAGCCACTAGTATTTGACACAAGTAATTCTTTACCTAGTGTAAGGGTCAATTAGTATTTGCGATCATAGTCAACATAATATCAAATACATTGGTTGGAGGACTTCAAGGAAACGACAACGAGCAAATCCATGAATTGCAGAGAGTGATGCTGTGTACAGTACCGGCTGATCCTGATTTAAGCATGTTGTTCATCTACAAATTTCCAACCTATTAAACAAGTGGTATCTTTGTCACTTACCTTTGTTTTTTGTCCTAAGTTACAGATATGAAAGAATGACACACTACCACTTTAAAAACGAACCTTCTGCCTTTTGAATGGTGTTGGTTCCTATATATTAAGAAACACTTCAGTGTCTACTTCAGATTTACTGGCTTAAAAGCACGCACTAGCAACAGGAACACATTCGAGTCCTAAGGAGCGGTCAATAACGAACATTAAGAACGCTTTGAAAAGAGTCATGTTTGCAATCTTATCATATGATCATGATACGTGAGATATTGTTTTCCTGGAAACTGATTACACTGCGGGATGAATGTGAAGTAGTTTATGAAAACCCAAGGGAAAAGACGCAATTCCAAAATATCTGCTGCATTCATATTTTTATATGTTTTTAAAGAAAATGTTCTTTTTGTTACCCATTTTGTCATAAACCAGGGAATTTCTAAACAATGAGTATTCTGAATATTCACTTTTAAGAAATCACTCACATCACAAAGATAAAAAGGATAGATAGGATAAAGGTCGTAGGCAGCCGTCAATTTACATCCCTTTATCTTTTACGTTTTATCAGGCTTCATATATTTTAGGGTTTTTTGCTTCTAAAACAACTTCAGGTAGGTACGCCAGGAAGTGAACGGTGATAATATTGATTCGTATTCTCTCTTCCGAAGCTGCTGATATTTCTGACAACTTCCGTGAAGGAAAAGGAAACAAGATATGTAGACACTTTAAAGTATACAGCAGGAAACCAGTACACCCATATACCGCAACCAACCAGTACACCCACATACACTGACAACCCAATTCACCTACATACACTGACAACCTAGTACACCTATATACAGAGACAACCCAGTACACCTACATACAGTGACAACCCAGTACAACTACATAGAATGACAACCTAGTACATCTACATACAATGACAACCCAGTACACCTACATACAGTGACAACTCAGTACATCTACATACACTGACAACCTAGTACACCTATATACAGAGACAACCCAGTACAACTACATACAATGACAAGCCAGTACACCTACATACAGTTACAACCTAGTACATCTACATACACTGACAACCTAGTACACCTATATACAGAGACAACCCAGTACACCTACATACAGAGACAACCCATTACATCTACATACAATGACAACCCAGTACATCTTCATACAGGGACAACCCAGTACACCTACATACAGTGACAACTAGGTACACCTACATACAGTGACAACCCAGTACAACTACATACAATGACAAGCCAGTACACCTACATACAGTTACAACCTAGTACATCTACATACACTGACAACCTAGTACACCTATATACAGAGACAACCCAGTACACCTACATACAGAGACAACCCATTACATCTACATACAATGACAACCCAGTACATCTTCATACAGGGACAACCCAGTACACCTACATACAGTGACAACTAGGTACACCTACATACAGTGACAACCCAGTACACCTACATACAATGACAACCTAGTACATCTACATACAATGACAACCCAGAACATCTACATACAATGACAACCCAGTACATCTACAAACAGGGACAACCCAGTACACCTACATACAGTGACAACTAAGTACACCTACATACAGTGACAACCCAGTACACCTACATACAATGACAACCCAGTACACCTACATACAGTGACAACCCAGTACACCTACATACAATGACAACCCAGTACACCTACATACAGTGACAACCCAGTACACCTACATACAATGACAACCTAGTACACCTACATACAATGACAACCCAGTACACCTACGTACAATAACAACCCAGGATACCTACATACAGGGACAACCCATTACACCTACATACAGTGACAACCCAGTACATCTACATACAATGACAACCTAGTACGCCTACATAGAATGACAACCCAGTACACCTACATACAGTGATAACCCAGTATACTTACATACACTGACAACCTAGTACACCTACATACAGAGACAACCTAGTACACCTACATACAATGACAACCCAGTACACCTACATACAGTGACAACCCAGTATACCTACATACAGTGACAACCCAGTACACCTACATACAGTGACAACCCAGTATACCTGCATACAGTGACAACCCAGTACACCTACATACAGTGACAACCCAGTATACCTACATACAGTGACAACCCAGTACACCTACATACAGTGACAACCCAGTATACCTGCATACAGTGACAACCCAGTACACCTAGATACAATGACAAGCCAGTACACCTGTCGTAAGAGACGAATTGGTTTTGATGAGACACTTGTCATCGTAACCCAGTGGCGTAGATCAATACTCATGTTGTTGATCACTGGATTGTCTAGCCGGGACTCGATTATTTGCTGACCGCTGCTCAACTCAACATACATGCAGTGACTGGACAAATGAAATATATTATAAACATCGTTCATCAGATAGCCAGCATTCACACACACTGGTGATTGTATGTTGTGCCGGGTTAGGCTCAAAACCAAGATTGGTTCCTGTGTTAACCTCCAAGTCATACCATCTTGCCTGTCTTTTTCTCTTGCAATTACAACATGTCATCTACCTGAAGCTGAACTCCACTTCGGATGTCCTGGGAAACATGGAACTTGCAGTTGCGTCCTTGGAGACTGGGCTGGTGTCTTCAAGACATGGTATAAATGACCTTAATCAAACACTGCAGTCCCTCATGCACAACGTATCAAACAGGTACGTGCGATTGTTACTGTTAGTTGTTATAATCAATATATGTGACGTTACATTTTAACTCACTCACTCACTATAATCAATATAACCACTAAGCGTTATACTCTTAATATTAAACAAATGTTGTTTATGTGGCTAAATTGTAGCAAACCCGCGAGTGACGACTACCATGGGTCGATTGCTCAAACTTGTTAATGTGTATTTGTTTTCATAGAAGTCTCAACTTGGGGCAAGCCACGACAGCCTGTTGAGGCTAGAAACTGAGTTCAGCATTCTCCACACAGACCTTAAGAGTGTAGAAGGCGATCTAGCTGTGGCCAAATATTTGAATTTACAATAAACAGCGAATATACACAACATTAACTCAGATTTGCGATGTTTTCCTCCATTGCCTCTGTTGTAAATGATTCTTATAACAATGACCTGGTGATTCACTTACTTTCCTAACAGTAACAAGTTACCATGATACCTTTCAAGGAGTGGTTGACAAGAGATTGGCGAAAACACTGAAGCCATCTTGGATTCGGTAGTTTCAAATTAAGAGTAGCCTCCCTTGCGCCACAGCAGTTGTTATGATGAAATCAGCTTATCTCCAAGCGGAATATATGCCATTTCAAGATTGTAAACAATTGTTTTTCATAGAATTGTGTTTCTTCTGGTAGATTACGCATAGTCTAGTATGCACGTGTGTATTCCGTGCACTGCTATACTCGGCTTGGTCACACTTGCAAAACAATTTTAACTTCCGTATATGTAACACTAACAATGTGTGGGAAAACATATCATTATCACTTTTAAATATTAATGTTCAATATGCCAGGCAGTGACCAATCATCATAGAATCAATGCTTACTTCCGTTATGACAACATTCTGATGTGAATTACACTAAATGCGAATGCTTGTGTTTCAAAACAATTTTCAATTTCCCTTTGTTAAACCATATATTTTGACACCAACGTACACCATTTGACAAAGATAACGTTATCTGACGTCTAATTTAAGCATGTGTTTCAGATTCTAAAAACTCTTATCTGGAGATATATGGGCCATTAGATAAGGGAAAGACCACCAAAGCAGCCATGGACGTTTTCAAAGTTGTCTTTGACTTTCAGAAGTCGACCGCAGATGAATTAAGAGCGGTCAAATCTGAGCTCAGGATGGCAGAGGACACAATTCGTAACATGACAATTCAGATGCAAGATGTGCTGGCTGAACAGAACGCAAATTTGGCAGACTACAGATCTACCTTGGATGAACTTACTGATGAAAAAATAAAACGGGCGACGACGGAATCATCTCTGGATACTCTTCAGAGACACGTAAATAACCTGCAAATGGAACATAATAAAACAATCAACGACCTTGATGCTCTGAAGTCTCAACTTGGGTTAAGCCACGACAGCCAGGTGAGGCTAGAAACTGAGTTCCAGCATTCTCCACACAGACCTGAAGAGTGTAGAAGGCGATTTAGCTGTAGCCAAATATTTGAGTTCACAAGAAACAGCGAATATAGACAACATTCACACAGATTTGCGAAACCTTCAAACAGACATGGCTAATGTAAAGAGTGTCAATATCGATTCCCTGTTCCCTAAGTCAATAGGTCTAAACTGGATGCAATATCTGCCGACGTGAAGACAACTGCAAACAAAGTTGCTATCCTTGAATTGAATCTTCACAGGGCTAACAACGACATTCTGGTAATGAATTCTGATCTTTGGAAATTAGCTTCAAATGTGACAGAATTTCAATTCAGTGTGTCTTCAGAAGTGAGTAGGATCAAGACTTCTCTCCTGGGAGATGGAAACCGTGAAACATTACAACAGGAGATCTACCTGAAGCTCAACTCCACTTCGGATGCGTTGGGAAACATGAAACAGGCAGTGGTGTCCTTGGAGACTGAGCTGGTCTCATCAAGATATGGTATAAATGGCCTTAATCAAACACTTCAGTCTCTCGTGCACAACGTATCAAACATGACAGGTACGTATGATTGTAACAATCATGTCAGAGGTTAAAATCAGTGTAACCTCCCAGAGTTATACTCTTCACACAACCATTTTATACATATGTGAGGTGAGGTGAGGTGAAATTGGGTTTAACGTCGTATTTGAGAATGTTTCGCTCACATGACGACGTGCATGTGTGTGTATGTGTACTTGCGGCTGCTTGTACTAGCCCGGACTGAAGCTGGTTTTATAGTGCTAGCCCACTGAGATACCATGCCGCAGTGAAGCATGAATACCCCACTCAGACACATATTATACTGACTTCGAGCCGACCAGTCCTTGTTGTACCCATCAATGCCGAGCGCCAGGCAGGGACCGACAAGTACCATATTTCAACGTCTTTTGGTATGACGCTGCCTGATTGAAGCCGCGACCTTCCGCTCTCCGAGCGGACGCTCTAACCACTCCACCATGGAGGCGGTCTTTTATACATATGTAGTTTATGTGGATAAATTGAGTTGATTGGTCGCACTCCCTTTCAACGTGTATTTGTTTACACAGGACGGATGATTATGTCTCATGTTACTCGAAACATTTATTCCTACATCAAATTGTTTCCAAAGTTGTTAGCTTTGTTTGTTTGTTTGTTCGTTGGGTTGAGGTCTGGTGAGCATGCCGGTCACTCCATCCGCTCTACACCCTGCTGCCTAAGGAAATCCTGTGACAATCGTGGCCCTATGAGGTCGGGCCAGTAAAGAGGGTCGACCATTAAAACCATGCATAGCTTGCAGGAATGGTACTGCTATAGGAGCCAGAATCAAGAATGACCGACCATCACTGGAGGACAAATTAAATGTGTTTCCGTCTGTGAAGAGCACACGAGACTATTGACGTTGATTCCACCGGCCATGTCTACTCCATCTCAAACATGCCTGCCTGTTACGTGGTGTTAGTAATGGACGAACTGCAGGTCGCCTACAGCAGAGTCCGGTTGCCCTTGTTGACAAATTGTGATCCACGTTATCCTTATATTGTTAACATTCAAGAGTTCTGTCTGAAGGTCTGCTGCGTAAATGAATATGTTACTTAATGCAGTCTTAACCATGGTCGACGTGCATATTTCACGGACCCATTGGCTTGGAATCTCTGCCACAGTCTACCACCAGCACCCCGACTCACATTAAAGCGGACAGCTACCTGCTGCTCAGTTTGACCAGATTCAAAAAGGCCTGTAGCATGACCCCTTTCAGCGAGTGTCAAACTAGTCTCATTTTAAGCTGCGACCTCAAACAGGTAACTGAACAGTGAAAGACAGTGAAAAAGCATCAATGCACGTGTATTGTCCTCCACTTCCCATGAATACAGTGACTTGCACGTGCAAATCATTGACATAAGTGGCAGGTGGATTTCCAAATTGACAATGTGGAAATTGTCATATTGAAACTTTGTAAATCAGTTGTATATATACTTCTCATAAAAGGTTTAGACTCACTAGTGTAAATAGATCAACTTCAGGCAACTGTTCTAAACTAAATTTTGCAAAATAACGTAACGTTGAAAAGAATATTGTCATGAGTTCAGTAAATGATAAATATCAGTGGCAAATTCTTAACAGACGTTTACAGCAAAATGCAGCTGTTCACGTGCATGATATTTGCACATGCTTTTCTGCAAATTGATGCATGATCCTCGTGCAATTCATCCGCATAAAGTTTGCAGTTGGTTCACCCAAGTTAATGGAGAAATCAATTGTCAATGTAACCATATATTTATACATAACATATAATGAGTGTTTCAGGTGAGTCTAAACTTTTAAAGAGGGGTATAGTTCAAACAAAAATGAATATTTTACTTTTAAGAAATAGGGTTACCAATAGATTGACCCTTCCTTAATGGCGCCGAGTATATATTATGAACTTCATTCATCAGATGGCCAACATTCACAAACTGTTGTTGAACTGGGTTAGGCTCAAACCCAAGATTGATTTCTGTGTTAACCTCCAAGTCATACCATGCTCGCTTGTCTTTCCCCTTACATACTGAAGACAGCAAACTGTGACATAACAAACACCTGTTTAAGGAAACTTACCTCACTCATATTTCTTTGTTTATCTTTGTCAAGGATCTGGTGCAAGACACGTTGCCTTTGAAGTGCGGCTACAGAAGGAAATCCATTCTGTGCAAATGGGTGGAAAGCTCATTTTTGATACTTTATTGTACAACAATGGCGGCGGATTTGAAGCTTCATCTGGTAAATTCACAGCACCTGTGTCTGGATCGTACATTTTCTGGGCTCAAGTAATGTTAGATCAAGTGGAATCATATCTGGAGATATACCTAGTCCAGAATGGCCACATCAAAGGCAAAGGGTATGCAGAGACCTCAAAGGAGACAGTATACGGCGTTGTTTCCATAACAACAGTCATGTATCTCTCTGCTGGGGATGAAGTATGGTTTGAAAAGTGGAAAGGATCACAGAACATATATGGAAGCCTTTATTCCGGATTTGGAGCTGCCCTCATTTCGTCTTGAATATTCAGTTATAGACACAAAATCCAAATAGCAGCGGAATTTACTGTAGCGGTTTATGGCTTGAGGTAATTCTGTGTTAATAAAATGAATCGACATATCTTTATTTTGGTTAATGTCTTTTTTTTTACTTGAGTGAGTGATAAGGATGAAAACCATTAGGCTAACAAACCCTCCACAAAGACAAATAATACATCCAATAGATGCGAAAAAGTAGGGGACTTTGTGTTTTGGGATCACACGATAGGACCAAAATCAGGCAATGAAGAAAACTGTTCCATCGACAAGAACAGTTCATAGTTCTCCATAACAACATAGTCATGAAGCATGTGGCTCCTGATAGCAGATGCAAGGTGGGCTGCCTGATTTACGTTGTGTTCTTGGAACCGTAATATATTTTACACATTTAGTCATTACGGAAGGAAAAGTTATGATCATGAATCAAGTGCTTCATGCTGGAGTGTTACGTTTAACAGGCAGACGTCTGAATATTGGATCTGTGAGGACCCAGGTTAGAACTGATCTTCAGCAACCCATGCTTAAGACAAGTGACGACTACTGGGATCAGGTGGTCCGGCTCACTGACTTGCTTGACACATGTCATTGTTAATCACTGGATTGTGTGGTCCAGACTCGATTTTTTACAGACTAGAGCCACATAGCTGGAATATTGATGAGTGCGCCATTAAACGCAAAATAGGTGTTCACATATGCCATTTGCGTGAACGGTGTTCACGAGCCATCCCACAAGTTACTGCAAGTCATTTACGTCAGAGGTGTCAGTGGTGTAGGTAACGATTATACATTGCATGGGCAATGCGATGAGAGCATCCCGCCTTTCTGCTGGCAACCGACACAAACATTTGCTTTCCTCATCTGGTAACTAACGATCAGTTTGTTTGATTTAGTTTAGGCTCACAAAATACATTAAGCAACATCTGGGAAAAATAGTTCGATGATGGCTATTTTAAATGTACACGTAGGTGCTATATTACTACGCAGAACCTATCCATCCTTTTGTTTACGTTATTCATTCACCTTGTAAAGTCGAAGACATACACTGCCAGTCAGCCAAAAGGTCTGTAGTGAAGCTAGTCTACATTCGATATGTATCATTCAGCACATAGACACTTAGACCTTATCTTACCTTGTCTGTATTTTAATAAAGTCTTAAAACGCTTTTAATTAATGCAGTCATTTGATAGCTTAGGTTTGGCACATCCGTGCAGCTTGTAAATAGATGCGTCTTTGCCGTACATTCGAACAATAGCGTACAATATAAAACAGTTGAATACTTGTTTACTCCTACTCACACTTACTCATACTGTGGTATGTATTATGAATTTAGAACTAGTTTTAGTCATTATATGGCTGAAATATTGCCGATGTGACTTTAAATCTTAACTCGCTAATTCACTCACTCACTCACTCATACTGTGACTGAAATTGGTGGTAGTGCTCTTTGCCGGAACAGATCTCTGAAACCGTTCCATGTTTCTACACCAAGCGGGGCACATATGTAGGTCTGCTGGTGAATTGGTTTATTATTGCTTGTTTATTCTTATTCATACTTACCAGAAAGTCGTAGTCAGACAGGGGAATCTCCCTTAAGCAGTGTCTTTAAGTCTACATAGGAAATGTTGCGTTGCTTCACTTATTTTCATAATAATTATTTAAAGAGATGAATTGCGGTTAGAATTGGTCTTCAGCAACTCATGCTCAACGTAGGAGATGACTCACGAGTTCGGGTAGTCAGGCTCGCAGACTCGGCTGACACGTCCCAAAATGCGTAAATTAATGTTCATGATGTTGATCACTGGATTGCGTGGTTCAGACTCAATTATGTACATACACCCACACACACCATATAGCTGGAATAGTGCTGGGTGCGGCGTTAAACAATAAACAGACAACTCACTGGTCTGTGAAAAAGAATTAAATTCCCTAACATTACTCTGCTCACCAGTATCAGTAAAAGTAATTAACGTCAACGTAATCCTGGAAAAGATTAACGGGTCCATATATTCATTGTTTGACCATTCTCATGTTCACTTGTGGCGACACAGAACTAACAAAACAATTTCTTAGATTGTCACTTTAGAAGTTTGGACGTTTCAGACAGACAAACTCTGCATTAGCCAAACAATGTCTTAAAGTATCATGGGGGAAAGTAACTATGTTGAGATGGACCAATCGATACCAAGATCACTCCAGAGGTACATTTTTAGCATTCAGGAATTTTATCTGACAGACGCATCTTGTAAAGGCAATGGCCTGGAGTTAAACGAGTTTTCAAAATAGATATTCAGATGCTTCTTTATTCACAAACCTTTTAACGAAACGTCTTCTTGGATGTGGGATAAATATTTCCTTTTCAGAAAAAGAGATTCTTTCGTGGAAACAACTCGGGCGAAGAATACACTGACGGAAAACGTATGTATTTTGCTTCACTTTGTGTAGCCTGGAATGTAGAAATACAAGAAATATGTGATGTTTATGTCACTTTCCACCTGTCGGTAATTTAGAAGCTTTTGATAAAACTCTCAAGTGTATCTGTCTATTGCATAAAACAAAGCGTACTCTTCTGATTGTGATTATAAATCTAGAGAACTCGTCAGTATTATTGTCCTGCTTTCCCTATGAGCGAAATGTTCCAACTACTATGACTGTGCACGTCGTTTGCAGTAAAACAGGCTTGGTGGCTGAAATGTTGTGTACCGATATTGGTGAAAGTAACATGTGTGATGAGTTACACTCACGATAATGATGAAGTATTCGTAGAAAATACAGACGGTAGTAGTTGGGTTTTATTATTGTTATATATACTGGACAAAAATAGTTAGGGATATATGTAAATTTTGAAATTATGAATGATCTATTTATTCATTGACACACTGATAAAATATCAATCATAAAAATACCAATATCCCTTACTTACTTTGTCCAGTATATATTTTGTTCTGTAAGTATTTGGTAGTTTGTTCTATGCCATGTGATTGAGTAACCCGAACATTTTTTACTGGCAATGTAGCAAACGCTGCAAATTCTACAAGAGTGTGTAGTATAGCTTTTAGCAATATTCCCGCAAATACAGTTTACACAAGTGGGAAATCGAACTCGTGTTCGAGTGAACGAGTGAACCTTTAACCATCAGGCTATCCCACAACCCCTCAAATTCTGAGATGGACCTCCTACGTGTATCTCTTGCGATAAAGTATTCACCATCACGGATATTCTGCTTCACTGTGTTTATTTTTCAACTGCGAGGGACTCACATTATACGGCAAAGGGTTCACATTATGAGGCAATGCATTTGAAAGATATATTTCCCCGCATGAGGTGGCCATCTCATTGTTCACTACGTGAGAGAGATTGATCTGTATCATAAATTGTAATTGTGTAATGTTTGAGACAAATTGCTTGTTTTTACATTCCATTTGTTTTACTTAACTTGTAATAATATCCAGATAAAGAAAGATCCTTCCTTGTAGTTTCTTATTTTCACCGTTCGTGATACACCTAATTGTTTTTGATCACATTTATAAACAAATATGTATTTTAAGAAACACATCTAAACTCTGTACTTAAAATGTGTTTGTCTGTTGACTTGGTCTCGTCGTTATACGGCTGAATTAATGGCAATGCGACGTAAAATTCAGCTAAACTCAACTCGAGTTCTACAAGAAATCCCCTTTGAGTGAGATAAATGCTTGGAATTTGTTTGTGTTACCCCAAGGTATTAGTACTTGCTGGAATGTTATAGCCTTGCACATAGGTTTTCTTCTGGTCGTTATATTTCAGGGTCTGTGTGACGGACTAGTCAGGTCAGGCCATCGGGTACTGCTTCGTGTGTGTGCTTAATGTGTCTAATGTACTTAATATGTCTAATGTACACGTTTGTCAATGTCTGTACCGACGTATATGTAACTCGATAATGTGCTGTTGTGTTTATGAAGTCTTTCTGTAAGATACAGTTTCTGTGAAGATTAGCTGCTATTGATGACATATAATTCAATTTTGTGTATTATGAAACTCAAGATGTGGGAGTTACCAACAATCAAATACGGGTACGTTTCCGTGTGCATGTGTGTGTGTGTGTGTGTGTGTGTGCGCGAGCGTAAGTACGTGCATACAATGTTGGAAAAAACCTCAGAAACTGTGACTATAAGCAATTAAGCACCCCGATGTAATGTACAGAACGGGTATGGACACTGATGTAAATGAGTGCATTTCTACAACATTTACAAACATTCCCGGGCAAGGCATAGATCTGAAGATGACCAAA